CTCTTTCATACCACACATTTTTGAGTATTAAAAAAAAAAAAAAAACACCATTACCTTGGCAGAGGATTCACTATCTTCCTACTGCTATGAACCAAACTCCACTTGGAAGGTATCACTAAATATTCATTATATCCACTACTAACAGTGTTCAAAGCAGGTTTAAAGGTAACTATATGTTTCCATAACTCATGACAGAAAGCACACACACAGACATAGTACCAATGGTGACATCAAGACGATGACATCAGGTCATTTAGTACTGGGGAGTAAGCTGAGAACTCAGAACTGGGCCTTTGCCTACTAGAAATGAGGTGCCACAAGCCACTTACTAGCTGGTGACCTGGGGCTCTTTTGTCCCTTGGTCTGACTGCATCTCTTCCTAGCAGTCAGGAGCTGTCTGCAGCTGCCAGTCTCCAAGCAGCACAGTCAACCTAAGCAGCCCAATTTATCTTATTTCTGCACTCCCAGGCTCTTCTTTAAAAAGAAAACTGTAGCATATAATTTACTGGCCTGTTCACTCAAGTAAGCAAGAAAAAAGTAGCTGGGAGATACTACCATGCCACAAAAGTATTTGCTTTTTAATGGTCATACTTTTCTAAATGTAATTTTTATTGGTTTTCAGAAGTAGTAAATGTTCATGGGATACTAATTTAGAAAACAAAGATCTGAAATACAGAAGGAAAACAGCCATGGTCTTAAGATCCTGGTCAGTTAGTATCAGTATGGTTGTGTTACCTGCTCCTTGGCAAGCTGCATGAAGATGCCTGTATACTGATACACACCAGACTGCATTAACTAGACTGCAGCAAAGAATATTAAATCACTTAATCCATTTACTTGTACTGATTAACCATTTGATAATAATCTAACAAATATCTTTATTTTTTCTTAATTCCTAGTGAAAATATCCAAGAGTCTCATTTGATGGTCTAACCATGTTAAGTGTTTCTTCCAAGAGACTGAGAAATGTGTTTCTTTTGGGGTAAGAATTATATCCAAGGATTCAAACAAGAGTCACATTTAGAGAGAAATGCAGATTGTCAATAAATTAAGACATGCTCATGTTACCCTTTCTACTTCAGTTCCCAGACTCGGATTCTAACAGACTCCCTCCTAGGTCTAAAAGACTTCAGAATTTTTTTTTTTTTTTTA